CGGTGAGGTAAAGTTTAATGGTGTTGTGTGACAGATTAAGGTGTAGGTGGCAGAAAGAGGCAAAAGACACCATGGTTTGGATAGAAAAGTCACCTTGTAGCCCGAATTCTGCAGTGAATTTGTTAAATATGTTAAGTGCCCTATTGTAAGTGATAGCAGTGTTGGGTGATAATGCTTGGTGAGTGAGTGATCTAGCGTGAAGCAAGAGTGTGCTTAATCCAGTATTAGTTCGTGAAACCGTGGTGTCCTGGATGGCTGTTGGTGAGCTGCTGGGAGTGCCTGAGAAAATGCCTGGAATCGAGAACGAGAAAGAGCGTCAGCGGCGGTGTTGTGAATACCCGGGATGTGAGAACATACTAAGTGAAACTGATTGGATGCTGCCAGCCAGGTCAACTTGCGAATCAGCCGCATGATGGTCAGGGAAGATGAGCGCCCTTTGTTAATGATATCGCAAGCTGCCGAGTTATCTGAGTAGCATTTTACTGCCTTGCCGGACCAGAGATGACCCCAGGTGTGTGCGGCCGCCACAATGGGGTAAATTTCAAATAGGGCTGAGGTCTCCCTGAATCCTGGCAAGGCATCCGTCTCAGTGGGCCAGTGGCCCCTAAACCAGTGGTTCCCGAAAATGGCTGCGAAACCGGTGTTGGCTGCTGCGTCTGTGTGGATGATGGGTGAAGAGGTGGAGAGAGGGGGGATAAACATGGAGATACCATTCCAGTCTTTCAAAAACTTCCCCCACATAGCCAAGTCAGCCTTGGCGTGGGGGTCCAAAGAAACTGTGCCGGAGTCCGAACTCCGTGGAGCAGGCAAAGAAGTCTGGAAATGAAAGACCTTCCCTGCGGAATGATGCGCATGGCGAAGTTCAGAGATCCAAGAAGGGACTGAAGTTCTCTCCTGGTGCAAACGTCATTCCGCAGGAACGTGTCTATCTCCCCTCTCAATCGTGAAAGTTTGTCGTGTGGAAGGCTAGCTCTGAGTTTGACAGAATCGAGCTCTATGCCTAAAAAGGTCAACTTAGTAGTGGGTCCTATAGTTTTGGCTGGGGACAAAGGGACTCCCAGTGTGGAAAAAAGTGCGGTAGTACTATTGATTGCTGTGGGTGTTGATGACCCTGGCTCGATCAGTAGAAAGTCATATAGATAGTGAATAACGGAGTGACACCTGATGACGTTCAGAAGCAGCCAGCATAGTGACTCCGTGAAAATGTCGAAAAGTTTGGGGCTGCTTCGAGAACCAAAAGTGAGTCGTGTTGAGAAGTAATAATACCCTCGCCATTTAACACCGTGTAAGTGCCAGAGTGAGGGGTGTATGGGCAGTAATTTAAAGGCGTTAGTGATGTCTGTTTTGCTGAGCCAGGGTCGATTACCAGATGTCATGATGGACTGTATGGCGTCGTCGATGGTGACGTACTGCAGAGAGAATTCGTCTGCTGGAATGAGTGCGTTTATGCTTGGAACAAGAGGAGTGCGGTGCCGATAAATCGATAGACTTTTTTTATTAGAATATTTATGAATAGCAATACCAATAGGGTTAGTGCGCCAGGAAGAAAACGGTGAAGAGGTGAAAGGACCAATCATGAAACCGTTTGTGGTTTCTGCGGAAATGAGTGTCTACAGCGACTGGGTCTAAACGTGCAGACTTTAGATTAGGACATTCTAGTGTACCTGGGGGAATGGCTACTATGCCTGTGTGAAACCCTTGTGAGAAACCTGTGGTGAGAAAATCCACTAAGTGCCTGCTGGGGTGAGACCTTAGATAAAAAAACAGCTTGTCTTTATTTATGTCGGTTAGTCATTTGTTTGGTGACAACCTGGCTGGACACATGGTCTTGGTATGTGCCCTGAAACATATGGAGCAGATGTGCAATAATCTACAGGCGCTGAAACTGCAGGAGCCTGCGTTGAAATTATTGCACACCTGTGCTTTACCTAAAAAGGAGATGGGCCTACCCAGCTTATCCCGGAGACCACCCGCTGGCTTGTTGTGAGGGGTGAAAGAGGAGTGAGGTGTGAACGTGGGGTGAGGGGTGGGAGTGGAGGTGGTGGGATCTGGTTCGACGGGACATAAGTCCGCCATGTGGGATGTAGAATTACAGATGGCACAAGCCGGGGGCCTGAGTCCAGCGAAGTGGCGACAGAAAAGTTCCGTGTCCATCTGACCCCAGTTCATTCTAATGTTGAACTGCTTGAGGTGGGTCGCCGCCTTCGCTGAAACTGACTTGTGGTAGTCATAGAAGGAAGAGCCCCCGTACTTGATGCCTAGATCCACTACCTACGTGGAGATAGAGATCTAGCTCTTCTCTCCTATGGGGATACACCGTACAAATGACGTCGCGGTATATCCCAAAGGCTATCACAAACTGTGGGATAGACAATTTTTTATTAAGCCTGGGATCCCTCATTTTGAGCACCACTGAGATGTCACCATAATTGTATGCCTTGTTCTCGAGTACATCCTGAGAGGCTATGAGATTCACATACGTATATATACATATATTAATTCTACATATATATGTAATATTTTTACATAATTAGTTATCTTAATTATTTACAATTAGCGGGACCTGCCTGACAACCCATGCTGAAAGTAAAGGGAATTTAATTTGCTAGCACTATATTTAACCCTATAACTTTCCAAGACACCCTAATACCTGTACATGGGGGGTACTGTTCTACTCGGGAGACTTCGCTGAACACAAATATTAGTGTTTCAAAACAGTAAAGTGTATTACAACGATGATATCGCCAGTAAAAGTGACTTTTTTGCCTTTTTCATTCACAAATAGCACTTACCCGGACGATATTATTGCTGTGATACTTTCTACTGTTTTGAAATACAAATATTTGTGTTCAGCAAAGTCTCCCGAGTACAAAAGTACCCCTCATGTACAGGTTTTATGGTGTTTTCAAAAGTTACAGCATCAAATATAAGGCTTGCGTTTCATTTTTTTCACATTAAAAAAAATGTAACCAAATGGCTACTAAAAGACTGGACATACCCCATTTGCAATACCTCGGGTTGTCTACTTTTGCAAATGGTATGCCATTATGGGTGTAAATTTCATTCCTGGGCTACTATAAAGTCCCAAAGGCAACGTAACCAATCTGGCGAATTTCAATTTCAAATGTAACGTGCTATATTTGACCCTGTAACTTCCCAAAACGCCATGAAACCTGTACATAGGGGGTACTGTTTTACACGTGAGACTTTGCTGTATACAAATATGTGTATTTTATTGCAGTAAAAGCAAACAGTATTAAGACATTGACAGTTAAAATGTCATGTAGAACTAAAAAAATAAAAAATAAAAATTTTATTTTCTCCCATTGTTTTCATATTAAATTATGTTTCATAGCTAAATATTTGATATTAAATGAAAGCCCTGTTTGCATTTAATATGAAAGAGGTGAATTACGGTTGGACAGACATGTAGCGCAAATGCCAGGTTTTGTTTACATTTTGTTTCGTTCACAACGTGTACATTTGGCTCCGTCCTGCTGCCGTTAAGTACTATGGACAATGTTTGGATCTTACAGTCTAAATAGCCCAGTAATTCATTAAATTGTTTTGACTCATATTGTACAGGGCTGTTTGGACTTTCATAAATAATCATGTTAAACTATTCAGCAAAGTGAGTTACAAATTTAAGGCCATAGTGGCCAAAATGATAGCACAGTGTCCAGAGTTTTTACATGTTGGGATATTTTGACCTTCATTTTGAAATTCTCTTTAGTAAATAAGTTTGTAAGGGTTTTTACGCCAGTCCCAGGGTGAGTGAATGTCGCATTGTCAAGGTCACAGTGATAAATCGTTAAATAATTGCATCTTCCCAAATAGTTCTTTGTTCCCCATACAGTCCTTACCTGAACTGGAACAGTATTTTTGGCACCTTCATTATTTTTATTAAGTATTATTGCTACACATAAGCACTAACACCTTTCAGCTTCAGCGCATGACCTATTGATCTAGCACTTATCTATCTCCTGCACATGCATCCCTCTTATACTTTATTATATCCTTTAGGTAGGCTGAGTACCAAGCACTATTCTCTTCTTCTTTCTCATATGGCCTGTGAAGAAAGATATAAGATAAGCTAGGAGTTTATTTGCTAAACATGGAGTTGCAGTAAAAAAAACAAACTAATTTTAAAAATGTGCACTAAAATAGCAGTTTGAGAAAGATATCTGCAACATACCAATATGGGTTTTAAATTTTAACAATCCACCCTTTCAATGTTCTAACAGTGTAATTAAACTCATGTTTTAGCAAATTAAATCCGAATAGCAAACTGTAGGCAAAATTAGCCAAGCTGTGACTATAGATAATTTGCAGAAATTTTCTAAATGGATTAGTATGGAGATGCTGAATGTAGGTGCTACACACTGTGCTGCACTGGACTAGAAGGCACCTCTAAAAGTCATCTGAGTAACTGCCACTAGAGTTGTTACTAGGCAGCAATGTAAATACTTTTCCTTTCTCTTCTCAACCTTCATTTGTTAGTGACATGCATACTGGCTAATGGTGTAATTTGCCAAAAGGTTTAACAATCTTCTGTACCAACCCTAAGGTGCCATTTCATTGTTTATTCAGATCACAGTTTATTCAGAATACATTCGTATTGCATTCTCATGGTTTCCTGGTTTTGAGTGGAGTAGTTTACCCATGTTCTTGTATCTCTGTATTCCAAACCTAGCATGTTAGTGATTTGATTTTCCTCTTTCCCTTGGCTACTGTTAAACCCGGCCACTCTATAAGTAAGTAAGTGCCATTACCTTTTCCATTACCTTTTCTTGTTATCTTATTTTTGGTAGGGAACATATATTTAGCAGCGTGAACTGTCCGTTTTGAGCATGAGAGAGTGCACAGTTAGGGCAGGGCCGGCCTTAGGGGTGTGCAAGCTGTGCGGCCGCACAGGGCGCCAGGGAGCAGAGGGCGCCATGTGGCCGACGCAGCTCGCACATGGCCGGCCAGAATTAAAAAAAAAAAAAAAATGTGGCGGGAAGCAGGGGAAGCAGGAAGGAATCCCTGCTTCCCCCAACAAACAGTCTCCAGGAGCTGCACTAACCTTCACTCCTCCACAATGAACAGAGGTAACTGTCTGTATGTGTATGACTGTCTACCTGTGTGTGTATGACGGTCTGCCTGTGTGTGTCTGTGTGTGTGTGAATGTATGACTATCTGCCTGTGTCTGTCTGTGTGTGTGTGACTGTCTGCCTGTGTGTGTGACTGTCTGCCTGTGTGTGTGACTGTCTGCCTGTGTGTGTGACTGTCTGCCTGTGTGTGTGACTGTCTGCCTCTGTCTGCTGTGTGTGTGACTGTCTGCCCGTGTGTGCGTGACTGTCTGCCTGTGTGTGTGTGTGACTGTCTGCCTGTGTGTGTGTGACTGTCTGCCTGTGTGTGTGTGACTGTCTGCCTGTGTGTGTGTGACTGTCTGCCTCAGTGTGTGTGGATGTCTTCCCGTGTGTGTGTGTGTGTGACTGTCTGCCTGTAATTGTGTGTGTGTTTATCTACATGTAACTGTGTATGTGTGTTACTGCCTGTACCTGTGTGTTTCTGCTTAATCCTGTGTATGTGACTATCTGCCTGTGACTATGTGCATGTGGTGGATTTGACAGTGTATATGTATAACTGTGTGCATCTGACTGTGAAACTGTGTACACATAACTCTGCAAAAATATACACCTGCATTCACACACAGGCCTAAATGCTATGTTTTTATCTGAATTAAATAACCACCACACACAGGCAATAAACCCAGCACAAATATCACACACTGTTAATACACCCATTACAAATATCACACACAGCCACCAGCACAGCATACATATCACACCTATCACATAGACAGACAACTCAAACATTACATCATACATGGATGACGGGGAGAAGACTCTTCGCACAGGGTGCCTAATGGCCTAAGGCCGGCCCTGAGTTAGGTCATCAGATTCCTTGAGACATGTGACAAACCAGCAGTTCAAAAGTGTACTTCCTTTTGGAATGGTTCCCAAACCAGTCCTCTGTGCACAGCAATAGGATTTATTAATTTCCCAATTCTGTTACAATAAGGACCATTTGTGCACCTTGAATGTATTGGGAACAGGTCGCTTGACCTTGGATTGCACTACACGTATGAGATGTTGCCTATATAAAATTAGTACATCCACCCATGGCTAAGTAGAATGCACCCACATCCCCTAACTAAAAATTAGTAAATATAAATAATGTACACTGATGTCAATGCAAACATTTTGGTGTTTAGATTTTTAGAAGTCCATCTGAAATATCATTCACTATTTATGATTTGCATTGCTCTCAGGCTGTTTTCACTCATCTGGTTAAGCATTCAAAATTTAGAATCTATCTCCAGTACAAAGCATTTCAATTAGATTATGCCATACATCAAGTAATAAAATCTCATGTAGTAGTTTGCTCTTTGTATCATCTCCCCCACGCACAGTATGCTTTACGTATTCATGTATTCAGATATAAAGAATGAATGAGGGGACTGCTTGTGGTTAGGACTGATGTGGTAGCCTTTACCATCACTTGTCAATGATTCATTGACAAAACAACCATTAGGATCTCCTTCAGCAATCATCTGACTCATCTTTATGCATTCATTGCATGCCAAGTAATTACCACTGTGTTCTTCATGCTGATAATGGAATGCAACTTTTATAAACCTGAGCCAGCTACAAAATGTGTGAGAGAATGTTTGAGGTTTAAAGGGAGATGTACAATGATCAGTCACAGCATTAAAACCACCTGCCTAAAATCATGTAGGTCCTCCTTGTGTTGCCAAAACTGCTCTGATACATCAAGGCATAGACTCCACACTTCTGAATATATCCTGTGGTATATGGCATGAAAACATTATCAGCTAAATATTTACGTATTGCAAGGTGGCGCCTCCATGGATCGAATTTGTTTTTCAAGCACATTCCTCAATCAAATTGAGATCAAAGGATTTATAGGCCACGGCATGTTCCTCAAACCATTCCTGAACAATGTTTGCATTGTGGTAGGGTGCATAATCCTGTTGAAAGAGGCCACTGCCATCAGGGAACATCTTTGCCATGAAGGGGTGTGGGTACCAAGGTGTCAATTTTATACATACTGACAAATTGATATGCTTACGTAGTTCATTGACAAATAGGCCTGAGCCCCAATATATAAACAGTTGGTTTTGGCAGAGAGTGATGCTTGCCAGTTATCTACCATTGCCAAGGGATAAGCCAAACGAGTTTTAGATCCTGGAATTGTGGGTGTGGTACATTGTTTAGCAGCCATGGGATGTGTTCAGAAGAAAACCTGAAATTCGAAGATTGAGTCACAGCATTGGTTGCTATGATGTGTCCGCCTGTATAAGTATACGGACAAAGTAGAATTGTTGTAATGCCGCCAGCCAGATCAACTCCCCATTTAACCTCATATTGTCAGTGAGGAGGACTGTGCAGTATTAATGCTGCTGATAAACTAAAAGAGATTAGGATCTGGGACACTGCGGGCTGTGTGTGAGTACAGAAACATGGGGATTTGTAAAACAGCAAGGACAGCAAGGAAATTAACATGGCTGACCTGTTCCGGTGGACATAAGAAGTCTAGCCACATGACCAGGTCTGCTCAAGCAAGTGTGTCAAGCATACAGCTCTGTCACGGGAGATGGGACTCCTTGTACGTGTTCCCATATGTAGCGGTCCCTCTGGCAGCCCAACCAGTTACCTCCGCTAGTTCCCTTCCTCCTGGTCAGGAACCATTTAGAGTATAAAGAGAACCAACCCCCCCTCCACCCCCAGTAACTGGATGACACACAGTCCTGGAGGTACAACACAATTTTTATTGGACACACGGCTTTTATGGATAACTCATGCAAGGGGTTTACCACACAACCATACAGGGACCCATCCCAGGATTCTCCCCCTCCCCGGGGGCCCTAGCTCAGGAAGGAACTCCATTCCCTTTGTCCCATAAGCCCTCCACTAAAACCCAGGGTTTCCCACACCAGCCGCCAGAAGCTCTTCTTTCCAGGAGCCTCTGTGCCTGGGAGTCTAGGTACGGGAAAAAAGCAACCGTCCCTTTGTCAACCAGGCACAGAAAAGCCCACCTGTGGGAAAAGAGCTGGTCTCTTTGTCCTGCAGGCTCAGGAAAGCCCGCCAAACTTGCCAGCTCCCCCAAAAGTGCCCACACCAATCTCAGGGACCCTCACAGCGGTCTTTCCATCGACTATCCCCCGTTCGCGAGGTCACAGTGTGAAACCCAGACAAGGTAAATGTCTACTTTCGAGGTATGAATGCTCCCCCTGGCTGGCTTTCGTCTGTATGAATGGCAGCCACTCAGGGGAGCACTCAATTACTTCCCTTGCAGTTTCACACCTAGGTTGCAAGTGCGAATGTTCCAATTAATTGGTGTGAACATTCTAATGGGGTTCTGGGAGGTCCTCGTTCGGGAGACTAATAAGTCGGGAAACAGCCATGAATGCTCCCCCTGGCTGGCATTCATCTAATGAACTGGTGACCACCCAGGTTAGCACGCATTAATTGCTTCCCTTGCGGTTTGATACTTATCTTGTGAGGTGGGAACATTCTAAATGTGGTATCGGGGTGGTCCCTGTTCAGGAGGTGAATGAATTCCCCCGAATGGGGTGCAGGCACAATAAACGAAAATACAGGGAAAACACATGTAAAAGAAACAGGAGATTTATGAATAGGCAGCGTTTCCGCCACACCTTAATTATAACTTGTATCGTCAAATGTTTCCCTGCATTCAAATGGAATTGTTCCCTTCTGTTCGGTTACCGAACAGATTCTTTGGGGTCCCGTTGTTCAGAAATCATGTTTCTGCTTGATTAGAAGATTGTGCTTGTCCCATTCTAAATATGATAAAAATGAGGCTTGAGTATTAATGTCTCTTTTGGATATGATATTGGAACACAAGGCTTGTTAATATTAAAGAACTCCTTCAGTTTATACTGAAACCAGACTTCCAGGCCACTTATGTGTGACTTCTCACACCTTACCTTTTTGGATATGTTGTGCGCTCAGATCAAGGCTATTCGGGAATATAATTTTTGTAGGGTTCCGATGCTGTTGTCATGTATTTTTGTGATATGTAAAAATTGTATGTACGTTTTTCTTTTTGATAGATAATTATATTAGATTAATTGGAGCTCAAATATCTCTCAAACACAATGGCTTGTGGGAAGGAAACCCCTGTGATTTTGTATTAGAAACTCCATGCTAAGTGCACTGCATAAAAAGCCAAGTGGCCTAATAAAATCAGATTGCTGCTTTTACTCAATACGACTGGTTGCATGCATTATATTGGGGAAACTCTACACAAAGGGAATACTTTCACTATATTCAGCACATCTGGAATTAGGATTAGTGGAGGATTGAAAGAATAACCGCAATAGACTCACGAACCCCTTACAAGAGCTATTGTCGATATGTGAAACATTGGAGCCGCTTGAGTGATCGTGAAATGCAATAGCGCCCTTGTGTTATGGGTATGACAAAGTTCATCAAACCAAGGAGCGACCGGAAATCTAAAATGGGAACAGGCATTGTCACCCATAAGGACTCTCCAATATCCCAGGTACACTGGACCTAATCTGCAGGGAGGTTGGACTAAAATTATATTGAGTCCAGTGTATATCTAGAGAATAAACTGGTGTTGGGGCTACTGGTTTATCTAGAAACAGCGAAACACCTAATGGTGTAATAGATTTAAAGATCATGTCCACTGTTGGATATGGTATTCATTGTTATATCGATAGAAATTAATAAAGAAAATGTATCTGAGGGACAGCACTGACGTACAAGATGCGCCAACAAAGACTGTGCAAATATATTGAATAAATTGGGGCAATTCAAGGCCCTAAACATAAGACGGGTAGAGAATTAGAAATGCTCTCTCTCTACTAAATATTGTGCGAATGCCACTGGGACAATATTTAGTGGAGAGAGCATTTCTAATTCTCTAATGGGAGAAACTTGAAGGCAAGGGGGTATGACAGCTGTCCAAGCCCAGCATCTACCCTGTCCATCTAGATTGCCCAATAGTATTGCCTAAGGTGGCATAATGCAGGACAGCTCCTTGGAAGGAATCAGTGGATTTAGGGTAGACGTGGTTAAGGAATGAGGAGCTGACAATGGTAATTAGGCAGTTTCATTGCATCTCTTCATTGCTAGGATAATAGAGTGGGTGCGCCAACATGTAAGAAGAAGGGGGTAAAGGATTCCAGCATGAAAATATCCACGATTATGCCACAACTATTAATTCATGGTGAACGAGTGCAGATTGGAGGTTAGGACATATGTCAGTACTTGTGGGAGTGACAAAGCGCCTGTGTGGAACCTACTGTGAAATCCTTAATTAGGATCTGGACTAGAGGAGGGAAAGAGCGACTATTGAGAAAGATGTCTCTCGCCAAAAGGCCAGAACAAATACAGTACAGTCAGTTTATTCAGTCTGGGGTACCTAGCTTCACTACAGACAAATCTGCATAGTTATGTCGTTCTTTGTGGACAAATGTACTATAACAAAAATGTGAGAAGAGAGAACATGCAGTACTGTAACAGGCGATGTTGCCAAAGTGGGTGGAAATAAGAGGCACAAGGCCGGGTACTTTGTAAAAGGGTTAAGAACTACTGAATCAGGATATTCTAACTTCGGCCTGTTGTTAAATGTATTTATGGGTGAAGAGATTGGGTGTCTTCATGCATGCATCTTTGTCATGCTGTATTTCCTACTTGAGCGCTGTCACCTTGTTGGGAAGTCTCAGGACTAATAAAATGTCAAGAAATAACATTTTGAGATTTCAGGAAATATGATCCATTTGGGAGCATTGGTTCCCAGGTGTAAGACATGTTATGATGTAAATTAAATGTGTCAGGGTACCTGTGGTTACTACACAGGCAGGGATCAAGCCTGTGGGTCTTCTACCACATGATGGGAACACTCCTCACATACCCTCCTCTCATCTTGGCCGTTCAGACACCGGCCGTGGTAGCTCCGCCCCTTTTCAATGACATCACAGCCTGCCATAACCTTCGAATTTGGGGGCGTGGGCATCACTTAAAGATCTATAAAAAGGACTCATTTGCAATGAATCATTGCCCTAGTGTGGTTCTTGCTTGATTGTTCCTATAGTGTATACTCTGGTTTGGTTTATTGGTATTTGACTTGGCTCTGATATTGACTATTCTGTGACTCTGCTTGTATATTCGCTTACCTGTTTTCTGGCTTCTTCAACCTCGGCTTGTCCCTGACTATTCTTTGTCCTTTCCTATGTTAGTCCGGTCATTCTAAGGTAGGTAAACGTTCGACTATTTTGCATTCTGCATATTGGATCCCTGTGTCAATTCTGACAAAATAGTGCCAAATGTAAGTGTTGAGCTGCTGGATGGATAATAGGCTGTATGAGATGTACGGCTTATGGCATGAACAAATGTAGGGTGATTGTACCAATGTTGTAGGAGTTGTGAAATGGAGTAGTGATGCTCTGGTGTTCAATCAGTTTTTTTATTTCTGTTTTTTTTTTTTTTTATGTATTTATTTTACACTGAGCGGTTTACTTAAACGCAGCATAATAGGGCAATATATAACCACTTAGCAGCAGGAAGGCCAAAATTAGGTTGTAACGGTAAGCCCGCCAAGGGCATATAAAACATTTGTGGTGAAGGTCTAGTGAGGCTGTGTTTTAAAATAAAGGAGTAGAAAGCTGAGAGCTTATTGCAATTCATGAGTAGCGGGGTGGTCATGTAAGGACAGTATGAGAAATAGTGGATGTATGCAATGATAGGATGAGGGCAGGGCCTGTGCAAGGGTCTTAGACTACACAGGCAAAATTTCATTTTGCCGTCCTCCTACACAAACTACACACATAGGTGCTGCTGCCAGAGGATCCTGCAAGAAAACTCTGGTTAGTGCAACTGAGCTATGCCTGTTCAGCTGCACATTGCCTAGCTCATTGGCTTACAGCGCTCACCTGAAGCTCTTAACCAATGAACAATTCTCGGGCGGGGCTTAGCACAGTGGCAGGAGTTTCTGGCAACAGCCTCCTGACAATAATTCTGTTCTTAACAAGCATAGGTCCTGACATTGGCCAGTATTTCACCCCTTCCCTCCTAAAAATTAGAATCCCTTATTTCCAGGTAATGTGCCTGTATCTCCCCAATTCACATCAGGACATACCTTACCCTAGCAATTAACCCCTTCCAAATTCACTATCTGCAATCTCTTAAAAGGTTTTCCTGCTCCTGCTTACCTACACAGTTATAGAGAGGTTACACAGAACACACTCCTACAGACAGACACACTCACAGATACACTACTATAGACACACTCACACACTCACAAATACACACTTATAGACACACTCACAAATAAACACTGACTGATACACTCCTAGACACACTCACAGATACACTCCTATATACAAACTCAGATACACTCCTAGATTGGCTGTAACTGGCCTTTGACCCCAAATCGGATACTATCTCTTCAGGTATACTATGCAAGCGGAACACCTCTGTAGTGAATATATCTGCTAATTCTAGAGACAAAGGTAGTTTAGGTAAGGACACAAAATGGACCATCTTAGGAAATCTATCGGTAACAGTTAAGATAACTGTATGACCTTCCAATTTAGGTAAATCAATGATAAAATGGATATGCTGGACCAGTGTTTTTTTTAGGTATGACCAAAGGTTGCAACAATCCTCAGGGTAAAACGTGAGGCATTTAAGATTGAGTGCAGACGTTACATGTCTGTACGCACTCCTTAACATCTTGCTTAAATAAGGCCATCAAAACTGAGTAGCAAGGAGTTTAGTGGTCTTCTTAGTTCCAGGATGGCCAGAAGTTTTGTTATCGTGGCATAATGCTAGGACCTCTTTGCGAAAGGCCAAAAGGATGAACAATCTATCCCATGGAGCCTGACTAGTTGCTTAGAGACTTAATGAGGTATGAACCTATGTTTAGTTCAGTGACAGCTACTATCTTGGCTTTAGGAGTAATAGGTTTTACTTGTCAGGATTACTATATGATCCAGCATGTAGAATTGTGTTACACAGGTGACTAATAAGTAACGTATTACCAGGCCTTAGAATGGCCGGACTAATGTACCAAAGAATAGTCAGGATAATAGCCGAGGTCAGGGGACACAACGATAAATGAAAGCCGGAGGTCAGGGATACCAGAATACAGGGAAGTCAAAATCAAAGCCAAGGTAAAAAAACAGAATAAACTTGAATAAGGAACGTGCTCTCAGACAACCTCTAGGGAAACAACGACAGGGCAATGAGGAAAGGTAATTTTAGGTTTAAATACCAGCTTTACCTTTCTGGTTGGGCGAGATCACTCTTTGACCCCAAAACGTGCGTGATGTCATGTGCACGCCAACGTTGTCAATCACACGAGTGGGCGTGGGGGTATAATTAGCCGTGGATCCGCAGCAGCCAGCGTCCATTAACATGCCGCAAGTGTTAGTCATGCAGATGCACAGCCGCTGACCGCAAGGTGAGGAAGAATATATGTTACTTGCAAATAATTGCAAATAAGAGGTTTGAGCAAAGAGACATGAAAAGTATTAGGAATTCTCAAGGAGGGCGGAAGGGCCAGAGAATAAGAAACAGGATTGCTATGTTTACAGCAAAACGGGTTAAACCTAGCTGGACCTGGCACCCAGACCACTTCATTAAGCTGAAGTGGTCTGGGTGCCTATAGTGTACCTTTAACATTTTTAGAACTAGGTCTATAAGAAAGTTAAAGCGAGAAAGGAATAGTGACCATCTAGCTTGTCTTAAAGATAATCGCTTAGCATTAGAGTTGAGCGGACACCTGGATGTTCGGGTCCGGTGGGTTCGGCCGAACTTTGAAAAAAAAGTCCGGGTTCGGGCTCGAACTTGACCCCCAACCCCATTGAAGTCAATGGGGACCCAAACTTTTGGACACAAAAATGTCTCTAAAAACTCCTGGAAAGGGCTAGAGAGCTGCAAAAGGAAGTAAAATGGGGGTAAGACAAGTGCCCTGCAAACAAATGTGGATAGGGAAATCACTTAAAATAACATAAAAAAATAAAAATACAGCTGAGCCATAAAATAGCACTAGATGGAATCTTTGTTTTTAGCTTTGGAAGAACATAAATCAAAATCTAAAGCATGGCTGTCAGGAGGATCACCAGAATTATCCATTTGAGAGAGGGTTGGAGTGCAGGGTATTCTCTTTCATTGTTCAAACTGAGCTCAACTCCTGATGCATGGAGAAAAGGCCTTCACAAGCCTCTGCTAATGTGTACCTAGTTTATACTAAATGACCCATAGCTTGAGGAGGTGGTGTAGGTGGAAGCAGCGGTGGAGGAGGAGGATGAGGTAGCCAACACATTTGTGTGTGTGTGTGTATATATATATATATATATATATAATTTTTTTTTTCTTGGGGTAGCCCCCAAAATATTGGGACATATAAAAAAAGACAACCCTGTTCCGCAGAGTAGCTGTTGACATTATAGTTGCGCAGGCACTTTGTTGACTCTAGAGAACCTTGGGCAAATCGCATATCCCTGTGGCGGCGACTTTCCATGCGGATGTCATCCATATAAACTTTCGATGCCAGTTTCTGCGCCTACCATGGTGACCACGGGTAACGGGAAATCAGGGTTTCATTCTGTACAGGGACCCTGAGAAATGGCTACCACATGCTAGGAAGGCAGCAGGCGCGCAAATTACCCACTCCCGACGCGGGAAGGTAGTGACGACAAATAACAATACAGGACTCTTTAGAGGCCCTGTGATTGTAATGAGTCCACTTGAAATCCTTTAACTCTGATCAATTGGAGGGAAGTCTGGTGCAGAGCCACTGACCTGTGCGTGCTGCGGCTGAAACTCCACTATCGCCTGCTGCTCGCACGGTCTCATGAGGCGGTGAGCGGGAAGGCTGAAGTTACGCTGCAGCACAGACAGGGGGGAACAGCAGGGTGAGAACGCCAAAAGCGCGCACAGCCGCTACAGTGAATGTCACATCCTGTTCCAAGTTGCGGATCAGTCTGGTGATGGCTTCTGGTATCTCTTTTTACTGAAGCTGCATCAGGGTCCTGGTATGTGGCCACACAAATGCTGGTGCTCAACACCAGGGGGTTACCTTGCACCAGACCCTGCTAATCCATTCCACACAGTGACTCCTAACTTCAACATCAGGCATACTGGGTCCCGTCGTCCAACCGCCGCCCAGACAGTGTCACCGGACTGCCCACCTCACTGTGAAACTACGAATAGATCGTTAAATCTGGTATGAACCCGAACTTTGCAGTTCGGGTTCGCTCAAGTCTATTATGAATCCTTTGATCGCTACATGTATTACTTGGATAACTGGTAATTCTCGAGCTAATACATGCCAATGAGCACTAGGGGACGCCCGCCCCGCTTTTGCACCCTGCTCCCTCTACTAATGCTGTGCTGGTGCCTCTGTGCGACCAGTGCCTCTTCCTCCAAACTGCACACGTCACTCGCATGACCTTGATTCCATGTGGGGTCTAGGACCTCGTCATCCTCCACATCATCTTCCACCCACTCCTCAACCCTGCCCTCCTTGCCGGTCTGCACACTGCCGAAAGCCACAGCAATTGGCACCTGTGTTTTTCCAGCTTGTAAAGTCTGCAAAGGACATATGGAAATTGTTTTATAATTTCCTCCAGGCAACAGTTTTCCCTATAAACTGACCTCTCAGTTTGACTTGTGAGGGTATTGCCCCAGAATTACAATATTGTTGAAGTACCTCTTAGCTATTGATCACTGGTTTAAATATAGCAGCTGGTTATCTGGTAGTTTCTAGTGTAGAAAATATCAATCACTTAGATCTGTGTAACAAGTGTTGTAGGTGTGAAACAATATTACAAGTGACCAATGTAGTAAATTTGAATCAAAGTTCCATTTGCAAAAAAAATTCTCGCCCATCTTCTGTGTGTTATTGCATTTTTAAAATTTAGACTTATTGTATCACACTAGCCATGCACAGGTAGAATGTCTGGCACGTTGTTTTGGTGTTTGGTTTTTAACTTTCTAGTTGTGTCTTTACACAATATAGAAATGTATATTAATGCTTCTGTATATGAAACTATCACAATAACACTTATTTTTCACTTTAAAAAAAAAAAAAATCAGGCTACACAAAAATTGGTAATTCACAATTTGACATCTGAAAAGCACATGAAAGGATGCTGTATGATTAAAAAAAAAAACACACTACATGAAGGTCCTGTTCACTAGAGTGTGTAGTCATGAATGTAAAACTTTGTTGTGTACAGCCACTGGTTGGCCCATACATATTTTAAAACTTGTTTAATTTTGCTGGCCATGGGCTTCCCTCTGACTGTAACAGCCTGTTACAGCCCGAGGGAATGTAGGAGAGAGGTGCTGGGGGCTGTCTGGAGGGAGCACTGATTGGCTCCCCGGCACAGGCCCCGCCCCCAAACGAAGCCCCGCCTCCCGCAGATAAGCCCCACCCCCGCCGTAATGCAGCAGACCATGCTGCTGCAGAAGATGGCTGCCTGACCCCCAGCAACAGCCTCCAGTGACAGGTAGGATTGGGGGGG